GTCAGCTGCCTGGGCACGGGCTTTAGTAGAAGTTTCCCAGGATAAAAAGATGGGGACAAATACAAGAGTATTGTCCCAATTTGATGTCTCCTCTGCCACACCAGTGAAACCTGATGGCCTGCATGTGAGGGCAAAGGAGATATATGGTTACTGCAGAGCTGTCCTTGCAGCAGCCAGACCTATCCTGTGCTTGGCTCGATCACACCAGCTCAGCAAAAAAGAGGTTGAGGTGGTCCTGGGAACAGACAGATGCCTTGAGGGCAGAGATGCAGCCAAAGAAGCTGCCTCAGAGGGAGGAGGGAATGATCCTTGGTGTTAACATCAGCTTGGAGGCCAAACCTTGCTATTCAGAAACTTCTATAGACAATTTCTTACTTTCCTGATTTACTGATGCAGAAGAAGAGCCCCAAGCACTGCTGCAGAGCACTGCTTCAGAAGGGCCTGATAATGAAGATGAAACTCAAACCCAAATATTTCAGCTGAGGCTTTGTTTGACCTATACTATTAGCATAATAAAAACTAATTGTATGGACATTACACTTTTTTTTTCTACATTAAAAATGTAAATGCACTTTTTTTTTTTTTTTTAACATTAAACTTCCCTTACACACAAGAGAAGGAAATTCTAATCCACCCTCATAAATTACCTTCAATCTTCTCTCATGTGCAGCAGTGGGAAGTAATCACCCTGTTTTGCTATCCGGATATATCTTTAAAGATACTCATTAAAAGAAACGTACATCCAGCAGGTGAATAGAGATAACTGGTCATCAGTGATGATAGGCAAAAATACACAAATATCTGATCTGAAAAAAGGCCAAGTTGGAAGCCAGACACATACTGAACTATCCACTTTACTCGCTGTTTATTCAGCTCATGTCAGGATGATTCAACACATCTTTACACGTAACTCCCTATTCATACAGCATCTTGTAGTCACAAAACCAAACATTTTCCATTTCTTTTTCTAAACAAAGGATAGAACAGTAGAATGGGAACTTGCCATTCAACAGCGGAAACTATTCGTAAAGCTGGGATGCTGGGGACACTAGGAAGAAAAGGCTTTAATGAAACTGGCTGCTGTGCGTGCCAACTGTCAAGACTTAAATATTCTTCCAAAGAACACTGACTGAGGCTTTTTCTGTATTTACTCTTTACATCCCAGTTATTATAACTCTTTGGATGATGTGAAAGAACAAAATTCATGAGAAATGCTGTATTAGAAACAGGCAGGCTTTCCTCCCCTGCCGCAACTAGTCTGTAGCTGCAATCAATGACCCATTAACTTATTTTTGGTAACGTACAAAGCCAGCACCAAGACATTTGTGACTAATTATCAGCTAGGCACAGGAATTCACCACTAGAGCCTCAGCTGATCCAGATCCAAAGGAAATCCTTGGAATTTCTGAAATACAAGCATTATAGTTGTTGCCTGGTAAGAAGACAGTTTTCATACACAACAAAAAATATATTTATGCCTTTGGAGGCTTGTAACTCAGCCAGAGGCAGATATATTCCCCCAGGGCAGCATCACTGACATCTGGGTAAAAACGTAGTCCTGCTTTGAGTCACTACTCCGAAGCATGGAGGCAGCAGAGCTGCGACAGTTTTCCAGACTGACATTTAAGCCTGCGATCCTTTTTACTGCCTTTTGTTCGTTCTGAGATCCCACATTCTGTGGCAAAAAAAAGATGTGCTATACAAAACAGCTTTGCTCGCTACACAGCTTTCATTCATCCATTCCCAGAGCACAGTTTGTCCTGTGCTGTGGAGGAGGAAAGCGCTTGCGGGTTTGACTTTGGTGTCCACTGTGACACAGCTTCCCAGAACAAGCCTGGAGGCTCGCCCAGGTCCTGCTGCCGCTGCGTATGGCAAGGTCGGACCCCATCCCTTGGAGCACTAACAGCCGTGCCCTCACCAGCCAGTAGGCAATGCAGGATTTTACAACGTACCAGCATTTACAGGGATAGCTAAACGAGCAAAAGTCATGTCTGGGAGCATATCCAATGACTAGTCAAGAGGGCCTTCAGCATTATAGGAATCACACAAACACTCCACAGTTACCCTCTCTTGTGAGCCAAGACAAAAGTTTAACTTATTTCCCTGCCCTTGTAAACAGCTGACAGAAAGATGGGGAGCTGAGGCAAGCACATCACATTTTCCACTCTGTTATGGAAAAAGTAGAAGGTGACTATTTAATTAAAGATGGTACGATAATGCATACACTAGGCTACAGGAAGGTGGAAATTTTAATTCTGGCATTTCATACTTTTTAGGAGCTCGAATTTGCAACCTTAATAGCACTCTTAATTTTTTTTAAGTAATGTAATTCCTTTCAACTAATCAAAATGAGAAAAGAATGAAATATCCTTTCATGAGACACTGACAAGAATAATATTCACAGAGCAGAGTGGTGACCACTAACATATCAATGCTTATTATAACTGCCAGGCATCAGAATCTGGGAAAGTTTCTCCCTGTACCCTGCCTAATTAATAGCAATGAGCTATAACAGTAAGTGCTGCTGTGAGGTCTTGATTATAAGGAATAGGAAAACATGAGCTTCAAAGTGACCAGTGACTTCCTTGGAATTCCTCTTCACCATCTCATAACTCTGTCTATCCTCCCTCCATCTGAGGTTCTCAGTTGCAATCCTAAATGCAAAAAGATCCCCGAGGATGTGGAGAGACCCAGATGAACTGTCTGGGCAGTCTGGGGGCACTTGCCCCCGCCTCCCTCCACATCTCAGGGCAGCACATCCTTAATGAGGCCACCCATGATGGCACTAGGGCTCTCCCTGGAAGAAGCCCTTCCCCTGGCAATGATCTCATGGAGATCTTGAAGGAAAAAAGCCCCAGACTGCATTGTTTTCTAAGCAGAAGCATAGAAATCTCACAAACATTCCCTTTCGTAATTCCTCCCACCACTCTGAGAAGCCTTATAAGGGATGATACCTGGTCGATACTTGATTTCAGTTTTGAAAACCTAATTTTGTGCACCGACTCTGTGGCAGCTACCATTCCAATAGTTTTACCTCTGCTCCTGAGTAATTCTGTGTGTGCTGAACGAGCTCTGATAAGCAGACTTCATCACTGACTGGCATGGACTGAAAATGAAGTTTGAAGATCTCCTCACGAGTGGCTGCATCTGGCAATGGCACATAGATAATTCTGTCTATTCGTCCTGGTCTCAGCAAGGCCTGCAACGAAAGCACCAGAGGAAAAGTTATGGCACATGGCACATCACACCAAGAGAGTAAAAATGACAACTCAATTAAAAACAACAATGCTGCCATATAACCAAAAATTTCAGCAAAGCAGGAGTCTGCAGGATAATAACCAAGCTATGTGTGAGAGGGATTAATATCCTCCGTTAGAATGGATCAGTCATTGAAAAGACAGTAAGGCTACTCAGCTTGTGAAATACCAGCTTACGGAAAAAAGGAATCATAAAGAACCATAGTCATTTTCCTAAAATAATAATTTTAGGCTTGTTGCAAGGTGTGCTGGAATCTTAGGACTTGGCAGAAGGACAGGTGGCAATGGGCACATCCCAAGCTCAGATATTCAATTAAGACAACAAGAGGAGATAAAAAGGTTTTGAAGTGAAGCTTACATGCTGAATTCATGTTGCTCTATCCCAAACTATTAGAGTTGCACATGCTTACTGAAGAGCACTGTACTCTAGCAGGATTTTATGCAAAATAAAGTAACAACAGACAGAGGCCAGTGATGCTCAATTTCAAAAAGGGAGAGAAAAAAAACCCCATAGACTTGCAAAAGCACTACAGTTAATACATTTTAGTATCAGCTTTAAGCCATTGGAAATCTGGTTTCTCCTTCTCTTGTGCCACAAGACAACTGAAAATTCCACAGATTAATACAGTTAAAAGCTAAGGCCTCAACTTTGCAGTTTCATACACATATATTGGCCCTTGCACTTTGGTTTACCAGAGTTACTCAGATTATACATACAGTGGGAGGGCGACAGAGCAAATACTGGGCAGCAGTAACAAACATTAAGAGGGGACAATGGCCACAAAGAGTAGCGTGGAGGGCTCAGGCTGGATGGGGTGGAAATAAATTTGCAGAAGAGAAGTGCAGCCTCGATACAGGTCAGCAGCACGGCTGAAGAAACTCTGTCCTCAGGGAGTTTGAGGCTTGGCCAGACGAAGCCAAGCCCTCCCTGATGTGATGCTGGTGCTGGATAGTCCCATACTGCACAGCAGGGGGGTCCCAGGGCCTCTGGGAGCCCCCTCCAACCAGACCAGTGTGCCTGTCACTGTGCTTTCTGGACAGGGTCAAAAAGCAAACATTATCTACATATAAAACAATTATATCCGATATATAGGAGAAGCCAAGCTCTTAAATTTGTGAGAAGAGAGGAAGTTCATGTCCCTAATACTTCTAACAATCGCCAAGATTTTTGAAAACTGTCTACAATAAAAAAAGTAAACCCCATCCCAGTCTTTCTCATTTGACATTTGAAAAAACCCCAAACCTGTGCACAGCCAATACACATAAATAGTATTTAAACTATTTTCTAAAAACTGAACAATGTTTATATGATTCAGCATGCAACCTAAATTGTTTTTATGTTATGGTTCTCCCCTGGGCAGAGTAGTTTGAGTTCCAGATGACTAGAGATATTGCATGGCTGTCCTGGGCTGTCAGCCAATAAGTCTTTTCCCAGCCTGATCATGTCAGTGAAAGTCATGCTGAAAAAATAGTAGGAAAGAGCTTTCCTTCCTGCACAGCATTGATCAAGTTAACACCCTTCCTAAAGTTTCTTTAAAAAGACTGTTATGGTGCTTCAGAGTGGAAAAATGTATCCTGAATATTAAGAGATGTCTTGTTATTTTTAAAACAGAACATGAAAACGCTTAGCAGAAAGTGCACAGCACTGCAGTCGGTTGCATTGAGCTCTGTAAGGTTACAGCAAGCCTACACTAGGAAGATGAAAGGCCTGTATCCAGCCCGGTGCACTGTCCGTGGCAGTGCCCAGTGCTGGATCCCTACAAAAGACAGCAAGAAACAAGCCATCCACTGATACTTCCCCAGCAGACTGTGCTACTTTCCACAGCGCTCTACATTCCCCAAAGAACTCAACTCCCTAACGATAACTCAAGCAGTGTGCAATTCAGCGTCTAAATCATCTGTGTATCAGGATGTTGCCATTTTTTGCCAACACACTTGAAAGAAAAATTTGCATGTTTCAAGACTAGGCTTGGAGGGAGAGGAATTATACAGCAATTGTGTTCTGCATGCTCTTAAGGAAATGCCGATAGCTAATTCTATTATTTAGAAGAAACAACAAATGTTCACAGGAGTACAGTGGTGTGTCTCTTTTAAATTAAGGCAGGTTTAATCAGGACACCCAGATAATTAGAACATTTTCTAGAACCAGCTTAGCTTCACGCTGATGAATGACCGTGACTGGTGTGCAAGTGGGACAGGAAAAATGCTTGATGAAAACCACCCGGGAGCAAGCACTGCGCTGCGTTGCATGGGCTTTCAGTTCTGAGATACAGGCTTCTAACACGATGTCGGGGCACTCACGCTTGAAAGCACAACTGCAGATGTAAAAGAGTGAATGTATGTTTTATTTCTTTTTTTGCTCAGTTACTAAAAATTGTATTTCCTTCAGTTTGTCCCAAATGCTTTGTGTTTTATATATAGTCATAGTTGGAGGCCCAAGTTTTAAACACACTATCATTACTTTTTGCTACAATCAGGCCTAGGGAACCTATCCAAGATGGCCAGATGTGCTGGGAACCGTACAAGAAAAGCACAAGTCAGCCTCTGCAGCGCCTGCTGCTTAAACAGACACAGACAAAAAGGAGAGGAGAGAAAATAATCTGTAACCTCACTTGGGAGAGGAGTCAAATTCCCTCTAGCCCCTGGAGAGAAAAGGAGATTGAACTGAGAGCTGCTCTTCCCTAGGCCTCCTGTCTGCCCAGCTGGATGGGAAATGGTGTGACCCTGGGTGCAGCTCCACTGCTCCTCACTCTGCTGTCACCACCCTTGTCCCTTTGGCAAAAGCTGCCAGCCCCTCCCCTCTATGCTCCTGAGGAACTAAACACAGAGGGAGATGTTGAGGAAGGCGCCTGCCTTGACCCATCCTGCGTTACTGGAAGGCAGATTCCCAGCTAGAGGCCACAAGTGGGCTGCAGAGCTGCCCTGCTGCCTCCTGATCTGAAAGCAATTGTCAAGCAACAGCACGTCAAGGCTATTCTGGTTTGCAGGACATCACGTTGCCCTCTCAGGCTTTTGGTCTCCATATACTTTTCCTTTATGGAAAATGACTGAGAACTCAGAACAGAGCTGCACACAGAGATTGGCAAGAAGAGAATAAGATATCCCTCTTGCTAGTTTTGCACACTGAAGTTCCTTCTGGAGGAAAATAAGCTCTTCCTGGGCTTAGAGAAGCCTATCGTGCCATTTAATAGGGACACCTGCAGAAGTGCCAGCTTTAACACCGAGGCCCAGGTCATGCTTACTTCTGCTGCTGGCAGCAGTGCCAAGTTTGATGGATGATGGCACCACCTTTTTCCTCAGCGCTGCTTTTCTTACAGACCTGGAAGCTCTTTCTCTTCTCAGTGGGGTGTTGTGTGATGCAGGCTTCCCCACGGAAAGGGTTTTGGAGGTGGTTGCTCCAAGCACACCATGACTTTCACAGGTCATTCCAGAAGATGGAGCTTCAGTCTTGCAATTTGCACTTCGAAAATCAAGAGGAGAGTGATGAGGACACCCAGGTCACCAGGTCCAGACCAGCTCCACTGCCCATGGGGTGTATTGGGATGCAGCGTTGACCCATTGGTGAGGTGGAAGGTGAAGCTGCCTGGAACTGATCCTTGCTGTGAGCCAGAGAAGGAGGAATTCAGCAGAAGGCGGCAGTGACTTGGCTGTGCAGGAGCAGAGGCAGATGGGGGAGGGTGAAGAGTTGAAGCAGGGCTGCAGGTTCAGGCAGATATGAGCTGCCGGGAGTACAAAATTAACTGCTCGCGGCTGGGAGATGCAAAATTGATTTGAGGCTGGGAGCACACAGAAGGTGGGAAGTTGATGGGGCCAAAATTAATTGATGTGTGCGCAGAGCTACATAATTCACTGATGTTGAGATGTTATGAGGGTTGCATAATTTATGTAGGCCAGGAAGGGCACAAAATTAACTAATTGGGGTTTTGGTAGAAACCAGAATACTTCATACCATTAAGCAATTCCTTTGCAAGTTTATGTAATTTTTTTGTCATTACCACAACAGTTACAGAAAGGGTCTGAGTGCACATGTAGTGAAAGGTTACTAGTGGTACAGAGGTGCAATATTCTTCAGGGGAGCGCTAAGAAAGTGAGATAATCATCACGTAATATCATCATATAATATCATCAATAGCAAAAACACATTAATTAAGAAGAAACTGCTCCCCTTTTGAAAAGAAATGCTTAAATTCTTTGGTAATTAAAATAGAGTATTACTTCAAAATATATCACTGGAAAAGGTAGCTAGATCAAAAATGTGTACTTTGTGTGCAATTATGAAGATAATTATTTCAGGAAAGAAACCTTGAATAGGTAAAGCCAGGAATATATTTGTGGTTCCTGTTAAGAATGGACAAGAATTAACCTTAGGGCTTTGCTAATTTTCCTCCTCCTCTTTTCCTTATTCTTTTTTTTTAAAGCATCCCTCTTTAGTTAGCTTTTCCAAAGAACTAAATTGTCAAACAATGCAGAATTCTAACACTGAGAGAAGCATGCCCAGCTGATGAGCTTTCTGTGGGATAGGAAAAATACCTTTCCTACCGACATACTTTTACAGCCATGCCTAACTCACCAAAACCATGCTGAATCAGACCTTCTAACAGACCAACATACAGAAAGGGTGCAGGAGGGTAACCTGACATTAGGAAAAAATCAATAGAATTAAAAAATATGGTGCCAAACTGACAAAAGTTTCCTTAGCAAAACGTAAGCCACGTAGTAAATGGCATACTGAGGTGTGTAAGAGAAAGCAAGTAGGTTCAGTAGCTAGTGAAGCTCATCTGGAGAATCAATGCTACTCCATAGTCTGCTGCAATGGACCTCCACAAGTAGGAACAGATTTTTAGACTAAATTTAAGACATTTCCTGTCAAGAAAATACATTTATTTTAATGCAGAACCTAAAAAATGGAACTAAAAGTTGAATCCTGCTTTTGGAGTCCCTT